AAAGATGTGGCCTGAAAGCTACTGACTGCAGAATGGAAATCAATGTGTTATTGCTGAGTAAGCAAAGACAGTAGGAGAAGAAAAATACCCAGATCCCAGGGTGCAAGTTTATTGAGTGAACTGGGAAAATGAGGGTTTGATAGTGGAAGACTTTAAAAGGGAATTCCTAACACATTTTCTATCAGCAATATGCATTTGACAAGTTGAGAGTTTGAGAAGAGAACAAAAAAAAAAGTCTTTAAATAGATGTTTCTTTAGGAAATAAAAGTAAAGATACAGGGACAAGATACATCACTTGTAACTTGCAATGATTTATAGGATGTTTATGTTCCTACATAAAAACAAATTGACATATTCGCAGTACTGTATGTACAAATTTGGAATTGTACTTGAAGAAAAAGTCAGAAGGTTGCAACAATAATTGACCATACTTCAAAAGAATGAAGATATATCAGATTAAACAAAGTAGGACTAAAGCAGAGCCTGTCAAAGGAATCAACTGTCCAGAGCTAAGACAAGGAAAGAAATAAACCAGTTTTAGAGTACCAGCTGGAAATAGGAGACATAAAAGCTATTCTGCACTCTTGAAATTAAGACATTCCAGTCCTCATAAAAGAAACAGATTGTGAGTCAAGAAAGAAAAATAGATGATAAAATAGTGAATGCAGAGCAGATGCATCTTCGCCCTACAGGAAACAAAGAGAAGACTCATAATGGTTTGTAATTTGCTATTACAAGAAGCTGCAGTAAAAGAGATGTGTGATTATTAGACCCATTGCCTTTTAAAGTATACTATGAACAGCATATATCAAATTCACTAGCAGTTCACCATTCCAGCTATTCAACAGATGGATGAAAAGCTGCAACTTATCACTACGGACTTTGAAAATCTAGGAAAGCAGCTCAGATACTGGTGATCTCAAATGATCTTTACATGTATCCATCTAACCCAGAGTTCAAAGAAAATAATATTAGAAATAATTGACTGGCTGAATAGATTCAAAGGGAGAAATTTGATATATGAGATCATAATTAGAGATAACTAAATGTGAACTGCTGGCACAAAATGATTTGCTTCTCAGGAAGAGGTAAAATGTATGGAATGTTTAAGCACAATGATAGAAGATAATATTTGTAGCTCAGAGTTGAACTGTGGAGTCCCTGGTGTTCTCCAAGTTTGGTGGTTTTCTTGCATATACAGGTGAAACTCGAAAAATTAGAAGGAAGATAGATTAGAATGCAGAAGGAAGCACGAAGTGCTTCAAAGTCTTGTTGCTCAGTGGTCCAAGTCCTTTTTTCTGATGAGAGCAACTTTTGCATCTCATTTGGAAACCAAGGACCCAGAATATAGAGGAAGAATGGAGAGGCCAATCAAGCAATAGCAGTTAGCAATAGCAGTTAGACTTATATACCGCTTCATAGGGCTTTCAGCCCTCTCTAAGCGATTTACAGAGTCAGCATATTGCCCCCAACAACAATCCGGGTCCTCATTTCACCCACCTCGGAAGGATGGAAGGCTGAGTCAACCCTGAGCCGGTGAGATTTGAACATCCGAACTACAGAACTGCAGTCAGCTGAAGTAGCCTGCAGTGCTGCATTTAACCACTGCGCCACAGTAATCCCACAGTCATTGAACTAGGTTTTGGTGCTTTTGGCAAAAGTTGCTCTCATCAGAAAAGAGGACTTTGGACCACTGAGCAACAAGACTTTGGACCATTGTGCTTCATTAAGACAAGGGTCAACACAGCCACCTACCAGGACATTTTGGAACACTTCATGCTTCCTTCCGCATACACGCTTTATGGGTATGCTGACTTCATTTTCCAGCTGCCCACACTGCCAAAAGCACCAAAACCTGATTCAATGATCGTGGGATTACTGTGCTTGATTGGCCAGCAAACTCGTCTGACCTGATCCCCATAGAGAATCTATGGGGCATTGCCAAGAGAAAGAAGAGAGACATGAGACCGAACAATGCAGAAGAGCTGAAGGCCGCTATTGAAGCATCCTGGTCTTCCATAATACCTCAGCAGTGCCAAAGGCTGATAGCTTCCATGCCACGCCCCATTGGGGCAGTAATTGCTGCAAAAGGGGCCCAAACCTAGTACTGAATACATATGCATGCTTATACTTTTCAGAAGTCCAATATTGTTCTATGTACAATCCTTGTTTTATGGATTGCATGTAATATTCTAATTTTCTGAGATTGTGGATTTGGGGTTTTCATGAACTATATGCCATAATCATCACAATTATGACAAATCACGGCTTGAACTATCTTGCTTTGCATGTAACGAGTCTTATCTCATATATTAGTTTCACCTTTTAAGTTGCATGACTGAAATAAATGAACTTTTGCACAATATTCTAATTTTTTGCGTTTCACCTATATTTCATTACCAGACTAGGTAACGTCATCAGTGCTAGTAGGGAGTGGGGTTTGGTCTCATTTTATATAATATAGACTTGCCCTGTCAGTATGGTGGGATGGTTTTTGGTTGTTCCTTGATTAGGCTGTTGTTTACTGTTAACTTAGCTGGACCCATCTTGTGTCTTCACAATTGAGTTGAACCTAAGCCTAGTAAAACTGTAGAGTGTTTGGGAATTACCACTAAATTCTTTTTTGTGAGCTTGACACCAATTTCACTAAAAACAATTTGATGGTCATTTTTGATGATAATTTTTAATATGGTAACAGCGGCTGGCAGTACTTGATCAACTTTCTCTGAGCTCACATGGCAAGCAACATCAAGCCAGGATACATACAGAATTCCAGATCTGTAAGCTTGTTAAAAAAACACCCTGGAAGAAGAGAATGACGAATTATTTCCTGTACTGGAGTCAAGAAACCCATATGATTGTGTTTATCTAAATCTGAACGAGATACAAAGAATCCAAAGTTTTTATATTTAACCAAAAATTACATTATCTTTTTAACAGCACAGTCCTAATTGTTTACAATTAAATAAATAAATATACTACATAGTCATACCTAAATATCCACTATGGAGTTATAATGTAGAATGCTGTATCTGCTTTGAAGAATTTTAATTTCTGCTGCTGGCTTCAACAATAAGAATGGAATGCAAATAAATAAATAAACAAATCTATTCATAATTTCCAGTTTTCATTTTAAATAAGCTATTTATCAAAGTTGAGATATGAAGTAAAATCTATGCTCGCTATTTTAAAAAAAAGAAAAGTCTGTTCCTCCTTTTCAGTGGTTTTAACCAATGAATCCACATTATTGTCCCTAATTGACATACATAAATAGGATCACCCCAACACAGAGAGAAGAATCCCATAATCTTAAAACTTGCAATGGCAGGGAGAGAATGTTAATCATTTCCCAAATAATGTGGTATGGACAATGTTGCAATTACAGTAGGTAATTTTAATCTGACTTTACTTGAAATTGAAGCATGTTAAGAGACTGCTGAGATATTTTTCTCGCATGTAATATGGCTCTACGTATACAAGAAAACTTATGCAGATTGCTGCAAACATAGCCTCCATTGTAATTTGGGCACCGAAGAACAATTTCTGCAGAACTGACATCTGGATCCATTTAGTCCATTGTGATCTGATATGCTGCTGTTCCTGCTGCTTAACAGATGATTTAACTTGAATGACTAAGCAACTGTGGTTGACCACTAAACAATACCTATTTATTGATCATCATGCAAGTAAAGGCCTATGAAAGGAAATACTGTCCAGAATTGGCTTTTAATAAGTGGTATTCTGTTTTATCATAATGTGAATTTGACGTCTTATAGAAGGCCTGATGATCTATTGATTGCAAAGTTCTGTAGATATTTGATACATGCTTGAGTTATACTCACCATGTGTTTATCCGATAGATCTGAAGCGATGAACATTGTTACTTTAATATAATGAATTTGTGTTGTATTCTGAATGGGAGCAGGTTTTCCTTAATGTGCAATTTCTCTGATTTAAATCTTGATGACCTCTACTTTTGCTTGTGAATCAAGACAGTACATTTGTCATTGATGAATTTTATCCAGAGACTTTTGGAAGTAGGAGCTGGGGAAGCATTGTTCTAAATTAAAGACTGTTAAATGCCCACATTACTTCAATTAAAGTGGAAATAGCAATAGCACTTATATACCGCTTCAGCATATTATCCCCAACAATCTGGGTCCTCATTTTACCGATCTTGGAAGGATGGAAGCTGGCACTCAGCAGAAGTAGCCTGCAGTACTGCATTTTAACCAGTGCGCCACCACAGGTTCTTGCAAGTTTTCATAATTATATAATTTATATGTATGAAATGTTTGGCAGATGTCCTGTGGTGCCACCAGAGATCGAATTTCTGATGGTTTGCAATACTTTCTTGTAGAGGATGTTGGTGTATAGGTCATAAACATTCATGGTGGCTAGAATGTGAGTCTTGGAATGTCTTCCAAGGAGATGCATGGTTTCTGTATATTGGGTAGTACACTAAATATAAAAATTTAACAGTCGGAAGTCAAACCCTGACTCAGAAGTAGCCAAACAAATAACATCCACACTAATTTGCATCACATAAAATGGTATTTAAAAGCCAATGCTCTGACAAGATGAGCACAATTCAAACCACACTTATGATGTCTCCTCGAATGGTGACAAAATATTTTCTACCAAATTGTCAAGCTCGGAGCTCAGACTAACAGCCCAAACATAATAATAATTAGATTCCTTTCTTCAATTTACCAAATTGATATTTTACCAATAAATAGGAGCACAACTTACTTTCACTATTCTGTGACCTTCACACAGGTCTTTTTTTAACTGAAAGAACTATTGTTTACTAAAATTAACATTTAATTCATTTTCTAAATGCAATGAAATTCTATTCAAGTTGCCTCATCATTACAAATAAGAATATGTACAATTCAAAATAATTTATGGAATGTGCTTCAGACCACAGCGCAATTTATTACTTTTCTCTTTTTTTAGGTTTTCACACAAGTTGAAAAAAGATGCAGCCACATTAAGAATCTCATTAAATACATACTGCTTTAATTATGTGATTCATTTCAGCAGCAACATTTCTTTTTCAGGCATGTACTAAAGCCTGAAAAAATGCATGTTGCAATAAATGACAGAAAGATGATATGATCATGCAAAGTCCAACCCACTTCTTCCATACCAACTGGGAAGCATGAAGTAAGAGGCCTTAATTCATTCATAGGAATATCTTAATAACAGTTTTTAATTTTAGTATTTGAACGATTCTTTTTCACAGCACCAATAACTGGTTTTTTAAAAAAAACTGAATCAGAAAATGAAATTATTCTTTGCTTTAAAATGACAATTCTGTGCTTTAAAAATTGTTAACTCAAAAATCTTTTTCTTATAAAGAACAGCAAAGTGAGTAAAATAGTAGCTTCTAATGTTCTGTGGAAAAGATCTTCGGGAGACTGGGTGAAGAGATGCAGCTTAGGGAACAATTAGATAAGAGACAATATAGCCCACAGCTGCAAAGTGGGGTGGAGCAAGAAACTCAGAAGGAAATCTAAGTTCTTGGACTATAAAGGAGACAGTGGCCGAATTGTACTTTCAGATTTACAAGTTTCTGTTCATGTAGCTTTACAGTAAAGTAGAATTAGTTGATCTGGTTATGTTTGCTGTCTGGTCTACCTGGCAAGGCTTACAATACTGGATTTGTTCAGTGAATTCAAACAAGAACAAAACCAAATTCTATTATTTTTTGACCAAACCGTTAGTATGGTAGTATGACAAGCATGAAATAAGGGAACAACAGTATCAATTTCAAGCAATTTCCACCTTACAGTGCTTACACATCTTACAATGGTGCTAAACAAATGGTACTTACAACTAGTCCTTCAAATTCCAGCTCGGCAGTGTACCCACAGTCATGTCATTTGATCTGATTGTTCAGCTTCTTTCCTGGCTTCTTACGAGCACAGTGAATGGGGAAGCCCTCAAGTCACAAATATGTAACATTGTGGAATTTGCTTAACATTGGCAACAGGAAGTGCCAGTGCTGCTATCTCTAAGCGGTATAGTCACAACACACTTTATGACTGCATTGGCTAGCTTTAGAAATTCTAGTCCCAATTGTTATTATTGACCAAGGACTACCTGTATATATTTATTTTGTAATATAATTTTACATATAGCCTACTTAGAAATAAAGCTGCAGGAAGCTAAATGAATCTTAATATCAAGTTAAATGGTAGTTAGTTATGTATAGTCTTTTAAAATGGACTGTGCATAAATAACCTGTCCAAAAGTAATCTGGAAAATAACTTACCATTTAGTCAAGTATTTTGTAGATTTGGAGAAATATAACTTTGTTTCTGATAAACTAATTAAAGTGGCAGAAGAAAGCATAGAGAAATAGTGAGATAATATTTAGGAAGAAATAAAGATAAATTATAATTTCAATTGAAAGGAATAGGAGATGAAAAATATGCTGATCTTCATAAAATCAAGACTTATGTTTTAAAATAAAGGCATATATAATTGTTTTACATAAGTTGGACATCTTGATGTGTCCTCTTTGCAAAACTCAGTCATCAGATTTTAATTGTTTGGTCTCTTATTTTTACTTTAAAAAAGAAATCAATCATTCCCTGAATTATTTTACAGTTCAAGTATAGCAAATACATACCCCTCACAATATTTTCAAGTAATGATCGAGAAAGATCACTGAATAGCCTATATACTATTATCATCCTGATATGTGTTCTGTCAGGGATTTAGTTGTTATTTTAAAAATTTAGGAATCTTTTGCACAGATTGGTGTACTTTACTTATTTACAACAATTTTTAAACTAAAAATTTAAAGTTTAATTTTTACACATAATCTGTGATAAAAAATGCAACTTTACATTTTGTTAAAGTGTTACAAATTCAAATAACTGTTTTCAAGCATATTAATATACAGCGATGTTAATTTACAAAAGAACATTCAACTGTTAAAAATGTAAAAGTTTCTAAAAATGGCTGAGATTCATAGTCAAAGCAAAAAAAATGATTAATGATCCTCGAAAAGAGCTCAGATCTAACAACCCTATTATTCTGTGAACTAATAAGAAATCGTTGTCCAACTGATTGTGCAATTTCCAATTTTTCCCAACATACATCACCATATTATCCTTTCCCATGCTATAGTTATACATTTTGAGATTTGAAGGTGCTAATTTTTAAGAACATCTTGTTGGCGCCTGAACTATTTCTGCAAGACAATTACACATTTTCATAATAGATCATTTTATGTGTAGTGTAAATTTAATATCTTTTGAACAGTCCTTTTGTTGTAACAAAGATTTTTTATCTTCACAAATGAAAATGAAATTATCCTATCAGTGACAAAGGAATATTTTATTCATTTACCTGTTATTTCACAAGTTAATGATGTATAATAGCAATTGTTCTTCTTCACATCAGTGCAACTTAAAAGAGTTTAAAAAGAAAAAAATCTAAATTTCTTATCCCTTTTTACAAGTGCATTTTTTGCAGAAATGTTGCTCTGAGTTCAGTTCCATAAACAAAAATTAATATAAAATATGTCCCTTCTTCTTTCACATTAATGTATAGGGTCTGCTAACATTTTTCATTATTCATTTTTTTAATATGGTGAAGCAAGGTATCTTTTTCCAAATGAGCTTCAGCAAGGGCCATCTTGGCTTTGGCTAATTCCTGTTTTAGACATTCATTTTCTTCTATAAGCTGTAATAAATAAGTAAATAAATAATTTTAATCTTAAAATGCTAAATTAAGTTTGATAACATCACAGCTTTATAACACACATTAAAAAAATCACTTCTAAGACATGTAAAAAGTCACATCAGCATGTTTGTGAAGTGTAGAATAGATTTGCCAGAAACCATTTAAGGCCCTGCTGCCTATTATGATTAAGCTTCAACTCAACACTCCTTTTTACAGGATAGGTATACTGCATATGCATAAACCTATTCGGCAGGAACTATCAGCTGACCACTATGTTATGACTTCAGTTAACACAAACACATATTGTTTTTCTTTTCTTCGTTTCTGCTATAATTTTGTACCAGTGAGGTTAAAACCAATTTTGTTGTATTTAAGTACAATGACAATAAAGATTATTATTATTATTATTATACAATTGTATCACAGCGGCCAGTTGTTTCGCCGGATTTGGCATTGGTTACTAGTCGGGTCCCACCCAGGGGCCTA